CTGAAGCTCCAGTCCCTGGCTCCTGGGAGCCATGCTCCGTCTCTCAAACTTCTAACAGCCTCAGCAGCGACTTTCAGAGCCCAGATCTACTGACTCAGGTTGGTAGGGCTCACATGATGGCCCTAAAAATAGCACTGTAGATGTTCCTGCTTGGGCTAGAACTCTGAAACCCAGCAAGGGAGTGGATCCAAGACACAGAACAGGAATGTCTATGATGCTACGTTTGGCACCACTGCAGGAGCCCTACAAGCTCAGTCTGTAGACCCAGGTTCTGAGCCTCATTGCGGTGTTTGGTTTGCCTGGCAGTGCAGACACACCCCAAGAGGCAGGGGAGAAGATGCTATTGGATCAACCCTTTAGTGCAAGAAGGAATGTGGGAGTCTGGGAGTCAGTTCCAAAAGAGATGTACAGGAATGTGCACGGTATTCCCCCTGCTGCTGAAAACCTCCCTTTAACAAATAAACCAAGAAAGGGCCAAGTTCATTTCCAACATCTCACCACTGTACTCAAGTCTGTAGAATTACCCGAGATGACTTTGGACCCAAATGACTGAACTGGCCAGAAATCACAGCTTAGGAACTGGATATATTAGGGTCCTGTGGCCAGCCTCTTGCAGTGATGGGCCAAGTTTCAGAGATGTTCAGATGCTCCTCTGAAGAGTTAATCTTGCTGGGATTTTCATGAGGAGAGATCCTTCCCCATGGAGGTTTCCAATACTTCCTGTTTCTAATCAGGCCAGAACACCTATGAGGCTAACATTAGCCCATCAGTTTGTGGGTGTAACCCAGGATTACCAGAGGCGATCACTCACCCCAAGATTGTCAGCTGACTATTTAAAGCAATTCCTATTCTATAGAGACTATTTAGCCTTTCTGACCAATTCTCTCCCCGTACAAACCACAGACATGCAGGCTATGTCTATACTACGGGGTTTTTCCAGGATACCACCGGTATCCCGGAAAAACTCCACCTCATCCAGGGAACGCGTCTGCTCTTCTGATATTTTTTTGCGGAAGAGCAGACACACTATTTCAGAAGCCCTGTAAACCTCGTTTCATGAGGAAGAAGGGCTGTTCCGAAAGAGGAGGTTTTTCCAAAATTTGGCCCATTGTAGACGGGCCAAATTTCGGAAAAGCCTCTTCTGAAAAAACAGTTGGAAAAAGTTACGGAAATTGTGGAGTGCAATTTGCATACCTTTTTCCGAAAAAAAAGTGTAGTATAGACATAGCCATACTCTGCATAGGTGGGCATCAGAAACAGGCTACACAAAATAAAAAAGTTATGGGCGCAGGAAGACAGACACATCAACCCCTTCCCAACAAACTACCAGCCCCCACCCCAATAAAGCAGTTGCCATTTGACCTCCCTCTTTTGAGCTAGCAGACAGAGGCTCCAGACAAGACCCAGCCTTCAAGTCAATTTTCCTTTTTCAACAGGCTAGCAAAAGGCCCTCTTGGATTCTTGCCACCTGCAAGTTCAAACACTATGTCCGCTTAAAAAACAAACCCTGAGAAGTTTGAGCCACAAAAGTTCCCCCTCCTCCCTGACCTCAATCGGAATTCCCTTTCCCTCCTCCCTGACCCCAATCGGAATTCCCTTCCCCTCCTCCCTGACCCCAATCGGAATTCCCTCAAAACACTAGGACATTTGGACCCAGGGTTTTGGTTCAGCTTCTCCTCAGAGTTTTCTCTTCCGTGCTGCATGGCAGGTGGTTTAGAAAACTGACTCTGCATCCTGGAATTGCCACCAAGCCAACCACGGTCTGGCACTGTCCTTTTCCAAGCGCTTATTAGCATCATATCTTGACGTCTCCACCTCCATTTCCCACAGCACCCAAATTCCCTGTCAGTAAGTGAAAAGGGTTTAACATCTTCCTCTTGGACAGATTTTTTTTTAAATCCACCACACAAACTTCCCTTCGGAGACATGTAAATTGTCCTAGGAGAGACATTTACCAGTTTCGTAAGGCTCTCCTGGGTCCGTTCCCCCCTTGCCCTGAGCTAGCCCAGCGAGTCTGTCCTAGCTCCCCCACTAACCTTCATTCTCCTGCCTGCGAGACAGGCACTGCAGCACCTGAGCCCAGCGCCGTCTGCCTGCACCGGTTGCACCGTGCGGTCACTCTCCTAGATCAGCATTGTTTGTGCAGTAGCGGCCCCGCCCCTCGTCACCCTCCTGTCAGGGAACCTGGGAACAAATGAGAAAACTGGGGAGATACCTTTGCAGTGAGTCATTTGTCTTCTGGAACAAAATCAAGGGGAGAAAGGGATGGGCAGAGACAGCCGGTGTCGGAGATGGGCTGCTAGACACACAGGGACCTGGGGAAAGGGAGCATGATGGGGAAGGACAGGGCGGAGGAGAAATTACAGAGGCGCGATCAGAGCAGGGTCCAATCTGCCCAACATCAAATGGACTCTTCTCCCCACATGCAGCTATTTCAGGAAGGTAGTTTCATCCTGGCACTTCAGCGGGGTAGCTGACCCAGACACCGCCCTCTGGGCTGCCCACGCTGCTGGCAGGCAAGGAGAAGGAGGAACAGAGAGAGATCTGAGCAGAGGGCGGCCCCGGGCTCACCTGCTCTCACTTGTTGATCACACGCCCCCAGCAGGTTGAAGTCACCAGGAAGAACTTGGGTTCCTCTCTGGCTGGCTGCCTCCACCTCCACCCTGCAGGCAGAGCCCGTCAGGTGAAGTTCAGGCCTGCGCACGGGCCCGGCCCCAGAAGCTATTTCAAACCGGCTGAGGCCCAGAGACCAGGGCGGGAGTGTGTGTGCAAAGGCTGTGCTGGCTCTGCACAGGGCTCACCGTCGCATTACCCTTGAGAAAAGCAAGGGCTGAAGAGCACTGTGGCCCTCCTGGCAGCTGGAGACCATGCCCACATTTCGGCAGCTGAGGCACAGCGGTACTAACATCTCAGGCCCCTACACTAAGTCTCCTGGCAACACCAGAGGCTGACCTCCCTCTCTCCCCCTTCCCCCCGAAGGCAGGGAGGGAGCACTGGTTCTCCTGGACACATGCTCGAGCCGTTGGTACCGCCTCACCACTGCCAAGCCCTGCCACCCGATCCTGACGGACTCCACCTCAGCCAGGAGGCAACAGGCCAAAACCTAGTGGGAAGTGGCACTAAATGCAGCTGCCGGCAAGTCAGGAGAGGGGAAAGAGCTATTTTACTGCTGATCCGGCTGCTCTTCCTGGCAATTAACCTGGCTCTTACCTGTCTGGGTGAAGTGGGGCTTCATAGCCAAACTAGCTGACCCATCTGGGGTGACTGACTAAAGACCAGATGCTGTGTGCACTTGGGCTGCTTTGTTGTGAGGACACAGGCTAACCCACTCCAGTGCCCACTGTCCTTCTGGGAATGCAGAGGGAATTGTGGGAAGGCACTGGAGGACTGACAAGTTTCCCCCCCAATTATGGGGAGAGAATCCTAGAGCCCCTCAGCTCACTGCAGTGCTAAGAGCCCTGCTCCCAGAAAAGCCTTAGCTCCTTCCCCAGTGGGTGTAGCAGCAGGGTGAACACAGTAACTCGAGCAGGGTTTGCCAGTGTGGCGGCTCACACTCACACCCGTCTAACCTCGGCTCAGACCCACTCTTTGGAACAATCTCACCCTTAACAAAAATCCTTCAAGAGACACCATTCCGAACCAACGCAGTTGCAGGGAGTTGTTGCTATAGTGTAGCCCAGCTCCGCCCTCCCTCATCTTATCAGGCGGTCACTCAGGCTAGGTCTACATTACAGGCTTCTTCTTGCACAAGAAGCTTTTTGCAGAAAACTTCTTGTGCAAGAGTGCGTCCACACCGCAAAAGCACATCAAAAAAGCGCTGCGCTTTTGCGCAAGAGAGCGTCCAGACTGCATGGACGCTCTCTCGAAAGGAAACTCTGATCACTATTTACAGAATGGCCACCAGGGCACCTGTGCTTTTTTCGATTGCCTCTTTTTGAAAAAAAAAAAACCCTGTTCCCCATCCACACACGTCTTTTTGCACAAGAGCTCTTGTTCAAAAAGGAGTTATTCCTCGTAGAAAGAGGAATACCTACACCAGAAAAACCCCTCTGTTCTTTCATTTTACTTGTGCAAAAATACACTTGAGGTGTGAAGGCTGTTTTTGCACAAAAACTCTATAGTGTAGACCTAGCCTCAGACTGCAAACGCTTCAGGGTGGGCATATGAACTCATTTGACCAAGGAGTGTCTAGTTCATTGGTGGAATTGCACTAACAGTAACAAAGGTTCCACATTTTAAGACAGCTCCACGCTACCACACATCCTCCCACCCCAAGATCGGCATGTGAGGCCACCCACATACCAGGATTCCTGACAAAGGACATCTGCTTTCAGGCCTGGCTCTAGCAAAGCACATGGGTGAGCCTAGTCTTATTCCGCAAAGCCCTTTAGCGTGTGCACAAGCATTTTGCAGAATCAGAGCCACAGTCCTCTGTGATTATCAGCACTGTAACCACACAGGGACACAGGACAAAGAAATGTCTCTAAAAAGTCCACATTTTGGAGTTTATACAAGCACTGAGACAACCAAAATTGAGCGACATCTTGCTCCATGTCCCAGTTACCGCATCTCTGCCAATACAACCAAAACCAATTGGAAGAGGTGTCAAGGTTTGAATGGGCTGTAGATAATCCATCCACCTCAGAAATGGGTCCCTCGAGATCAGGGCTGAGGTAACACGGGGAAGGGGGAAGCTTACACAGCTGCATCTGTTCAGTGGATAAGATTAGGCCTTTGTTTGCCAGGATTGGCACTAACAGCTTCTTGAGTCAATGGGGAAAGTCTGCCATTGACCTCAACGGGCTTCCGATCAGGCCCAGAACTCACACAATCCCACTGTGTTAAGACCAACGGTTGAGCTATCGTTTCAGAATGGTTTACATTTGTCTTTCCCTTGTGTGACTCAACTAAGAGAACTTCTGTGATAGGACATTCCCCCTCCCCCGCCACCTTCCCCTCCCAATCTCTGCTAACGAGACACTGGTCTCCAACCCACATCCGATGTCTCCCCACACTTCTGAGTACTTCCCTCAGAAGGAACAGAAAAGGGGGGAAGGTCTCATGTATCATTCATAGGAACTCCCAGCTCCTTCACTCACTCCATGAAACCTCGGGCAAGCTGCTTAACCGGTCTCTGCCTCTGTTTCCCCACCTGTCCAAATGGGAGCAATGATGGTGGCCTACACCCCATGGGGAAGTGAGACATGGTCAAATAAGGAACATGTGTACAATGCTTAGACGGTGAAAGCACTAGGAGCATGCCAGGTATTCTCCGAGAGAATGTGGGGGAATCCAAGATTTAAAGCCATCCCGGAACAAATGATTTGGGGCACAAAAAACCCGATAGAATAAAATCAAGGACGTGAGCTGCGTTATCCGGAGAAAGCTGAGACCCCCCCCGACATCTGGAATTCCCCAGTCACCTCCTTGCGTCCACACAGTAAGAACTGAGAGACTCAACACCCCAGCTTACTCCAGGGACCGGTAGTCACAGCAAATCAGCAAGCATCCGTGCTCCTGAGGCTGGGATACAGAGTGTGGGCCAGCAGCAGCAGCCTATGGGAGTGCAGCAGAGTTAGTGCCAACTTCCCGTCAGCTGGGAAGAGTATCTGGAGCTGGCTGCACACACATTCCCCAGCTACACAAAACTTCACTTTCCCCACTGCGCCAGCCCCTTTACTGTATCAGAGGGTAAACAGGGAGCCTCGCCCTTTGGTGTTCTCTGGGCAGGCTTGACCTGTGCTCTGGGCATGGGGCACACAGGCAGGCAGACAGGGAAGCTAACATACAGGGAGAAGAGAAGACCCAGCCTCGAGTCCATGGAGTGGAAGAGGAGGGACAGCCCTAGTTACAGCACAGAGCACACAGGGGAAGGCAGGGAGCTTTTCCCCCCTTGCTTGTCTGACATCTGCATCCCCTCCTTCCAGTGGGGTTGGTCCTGCTTTGAGCAGGGGGTTGGATTAGATGACCCTCCTTAGATTAGATTGTTCCTTCCTCTTCTATGATTCTGCGATCCTCAGCCTGCTGCCGCACCTCAAAAGCATCCCTCTCCTGCTTTCTCTGGCCAGGAGAGGAAGAAGCAACCAGTCCCTCTCTCCTCTCCCACCCCACTCGTGCCTTGGAGCTGCACTTAATTCCAGTCCCAACACCACCACGAACAATGGGACCAAACACACAGCTCCAAATTGCCACGCACAGCTGCTGCTTCCCCATTTCCCTTACGCCATATGCTGGGAGGTGGGGACCACCATTGGTGTACCTTTATGTTGGAACAGGGTGGCCTAGCACACACTTGCCAACACACCGGGACCAGCCCAATGCCCAGGACTGGGCCAGCATCCCCTCCCTTCATGCCTGCACTGTGGGTCTTGCCCGAGGATCCCAGCTATCTGAAGGTGCTGAAGTTGGCTCGTCTGAGGAGAACTGGATGGTGCAGGAGGCTGGCAGGAGGATACAGGGCCTTTCAGTTCTAGCTTCACCCCTCCAAAGTGGCCCTATTTGTAATGGCCAGAACCTGACGGTAGGGAAGGAAGGCACAGGGCAATGAAGCTCGTTCACAAGCATCTCCCACGGAGAGCAATGAACTCCATTAGAGGATGGACAGGAGTCAGGAGGACAGGCTGAAGGCCAAGAAGTAGGGATGTAAAATCCTGTTTAATTGGTTAAATGTGATGGTTAACTAGTTACCTGATTAAAGGGGGGACGGGCAGGAGGGCTGCTCCAGCCCAGCTGGGCTGACAGGCCTCCCTGCAAGACGTGGCCAGGCTGGAGCGGCCCCCACACCACAGGGAAGGGCTGCTCCAGGCTGGCCAGAGCAGCCTCTACTTGCGACACGCCTGGGCCCACCAGGGACAGGGACTGGTCGAACAGGTCTGGAGCGCCCCTGTCTGCGGCAGGCCCCGCCAGGTTGCAGCAGCCACAGCAGGCGGAGAGTTGTTCCAGCCCCCTCTGGTTAACCTCTTACATCCCTACCAGGAAGCCCATAGGCAGAGCACTTGCACACACTTTTACACTAGTGGTTGCAGATGCAATGCCCACTGACCCAGAGCACAGAAATCCTCTTCTTCTTGGGGCACTAACACACCCAGAGCCTGCAGGGCAGGGGCGTGTAGGAGAAGCTCATGCAAAGTCAAGCTGAAAGCAAATTCTCCACGGCCTGTGTAATACTGCCTAGCTCCTGGAAG